TAGCAGGAAAACAGCTGGCCACTGAGTGTAGTCCACCTTTATATTCATCCCTGTTATTGGGAGATGTCAACAGTTACCTCAGGACTGCCATCTGGACTCACCTCTGAATTATCTTCAGCCTTACCATACACTTGCAGAAATTCATTCAAAATTTTCCTTTTTAATATTTGTTCCATTTTTCAGTGGTTAGTGGGGTCAAACTGATATTCATTTGTAAAGTGTTACTAAACTCAGGACCCTGCATTCACTCTATTTGGTCTCCCACAGTACATAGACCATGGAAATGTAAATGTAAAATACTAAATACCTTTTCTCACCAGCAGTTAGAGTAGTCTTGTGACTTCTAACAGTGTCCAGCAGAGCACATGTTTTTATTTTGCTCTAGGAGGATGCAGAACTCCTGACCTCTGTCTGGACAGTGCTGATTGGCCCTGTGCTGATCACATGAGCTCTTCCAAGAATAAAAACACTCTAGCAATATACACCAAGCTGAGCATGTTCAGAGTGACTCCGCATGATATGTCTTATCAGGAGATAAGATGGGGACACTGGAAAAAGGGGAGGATCAGAGAAGTCAGGATTAAACAGCCTTTGTACACAGTGTAGGAAGCATCCCACTGCTGCCACCAAATGTGACGGAACTCCTGTCACCCTGATTTGGTGACTCTGTCAGAGAACAGTCACTGGGACACAGGACCAAGGTATTATAGCCAGGCATTGCTCCCAAGACTAAATTAAACTAGCTTAGATGCCAAACTGGAACTCTTTATTGAACAGAAAACACAGGTTTTTATACACCCTAGAAATAGGGCCCATCCGCTCATGAGCAATAAAACAAATATTACACTTTAGGATAAACATCCCACACTGATTAGATAACGAGGTGAAGCTGACCTCAGTCTAATTCTATCATCCAGAAGGACTTGCCAACAAACAGTAGATGACTCAATTAACTATGGGAATACACACTTAGGAGGCATACAATGGTAGAAGATAGTAAACACATAACACCTTAATAAACAGATTAGATCAAGAGTCCTCAGCATGAGGTTGTATTGCTGATCATATCAACATCTTCTTAGAGTCTCTAAGTCTAGGAAGGAGGGGGCTTGAAGCAGTCAATGCTAGTTTGGGCACAGAGGCCCCAAATCTGTATCTTGGTCCTACAGTTCTCAGAGTCTATGTGTTTTGGGGAGATATGGACTTGAATCTGAAGTAAATTACTCCAAAGCCCCCTCAGATGCCAGGGCCATGGTCATTAGGCAAGAGGCTAGCCTGAAGTCCACTCCAAAAGCCCCTGTCCTGGTTGGGTCTGTCACATCCTCTCTCCAACAGTCTCAATCTCAAGTTGTTAGCTTCCCTCCTAAAGGTAACATCATCAAAACAATTGTGTCATACCCAAAGATATTGATCATATGGGATGGAGAACACTAGCGGCTCTGGATGGAAACTAGTTGCATACAAAATACAGTTTACAGCCTTTGGTTTTGGATATAACCAGCTTGATAGACTGCCATCTGGTTCCTTATGTATTTCCAAATCCAAAAAGGTAGAGATGGACAGGACATTAGACATGAGCACACTGGAAATGTTCATTTCAGAATCATTTGTTCACTGAAGAATTTCGTTTCATCATATTCGTTATGCAGAGTCGATTCATTTTTGAGATTCAATTTGTATCTTCAGCTTTGGTTTCGTATATTCCTTGGTCCGGGTGGATTTAAAAACATTTGCAGCTTTTCCAGAGGATTGCTATATATTTTCTATAGATTATAGAATTGGATGGATTCAAATCAGACAGATTCAATATTTTTGGATGCTAGTCCAACCCACCAAGAGAAATGGCATGAGCAGATTGGACAATATTGACTGGCGCCATGTGCATTCAAATAAACAAATGAATTTGTTAATCTGAATTATCGGACATATTGGAAAATTGAATTCACTTCCCCATGGGCCCAAACTACTATCTCATCGTGTGACATCATCCGAATGAAACAAATGCATTCATTAATTTTGTTATAACTTTTTTTTTTTTTTATTCATTGCCTTTCGTTTCTGTGTCCATTGGAGATTAAGATACATCTGAATCTCTAAAATTGAAATTTTTGTTAAAAAACTAATCAAAACAAAATAAATCACACATGTCTACAGGTCATAGGCCATAGTAAAACTTAGACTGAAATTGTATGAAATCATCTCAGTCAGACATTGTAGTAGGGAAACTTTTGGGCTACTCCATATTGTAAATATGTTGTAAATATGTTGTAAATATGTTGTTGCAGTAGTGGTACCAAGTTGTAACATTGACAACCCCTTATCAGCTAGAAAGACAATTTCCCATGACCCCAGGTACAGATTGTACAATATAGGACAGGGCACAATATGTTTCCATTGCCACACCCTGTAACTGGAGAAAGTGAAAAAACTTTGTGTTTCAAAATGAATGCAATAGCTGAAACCACATATTTGCAAATTGTTACTCTTGCTGACTTCTTGTGACAGGAAATGTCTTACGATAGATACACCCTTATCATGTGGAATTGCAGTATAGAGTGCCTCCATGTCCACTGTCACCAAAATAGCTTCCTTAGGGACATGTAGACCATCAATAATCTGTAGAAAATGGACAGTGCCTTTTGCGTATGTAGAAAGACTTAAGACATGGGTCCTCGGGTGTCTTTCTATTACTTGACTAGGATTTTCAGTGAAATCACCCCTGCCAAATATGGTAGGTCTGCCGGGGGACTGGGAATGTTCTGAAGGACCTTAGGGAGGGTGGGTTGGAATCTTTAGAGGTGGATCCATCAACGTCCAACAAAAGGGTCTCTAGATCAATTTGATTGATCAAATATACTGACTCTTTCTTGTCTAGCAATGCCACTAGATCTTTTATGGCCTTAAATTCCCCAGTCGTATGACAGGACCAATCAATATTGTCCCTTTTAGCTTGTTTAGCATGTAAACTTTTCAATATCAATTTACGAGCAAATAGTTGCAGCTCTTTAATTGTCTAAAAATTGTCCAGATCTTGCTCCAGGCAAAAGCGAAGACTCCACCTGTGGACAGCACCTGTGTTTCCTCCTTAGAAAGATAGTCTGCCAAATGCTATGACATAAACATTCCTTCTTTTTTCTATACAGGACCTCTAAAAAGACCCTGTTGCCAGGCCATTCATTCGACAAAAATCTTCCCATAAGATTATATGTATATTTATCATATTTTATGCATGTTTTTTTATCTGTAAAAGCCTTGTGTAGACATCCAAAAACCCCATAACTGCTGTTGATGTGATGTCAGTAGCTTTAGCAGACTGAGAACTGTCACCCAACTGACACTCTATAGGAAGGCTCCACTTTCCTTCTCCCCAGCAGCTAAATAAAAGGTTATGTAGGGTGGAGCAGCAAGGCCAGCACAGACAGTAATTAGACAGGTCTATGGAAAAGGTAGGAGGGGACTGTGCCAGGGAATTGACTCTCCTGGAGTAGTCAGGTTTTTATATTTCAGAGGCCTATTACCCAAATGAATAAAGCAATGATTTATAAAAAACACTGCAAATTCTCTATGCTTTTAGCTGCAGTTTTCGTGACAGAGTCTCTTTAAACAGAGATCTTGGTTGCTATCATCCTACTACAGCATATAGATAAATAGTGTATTACTTTAACAGGAAAACAAACATCCTGGAAATACTGTATGTTATACACAGGATAGGGCGGGAAGAGCGCTTCTGGAGAAGGACCCTCTTGGAAATGATCCTGATATACAAGGTACTATAACAATGAGGGAGTTGACCTGGGCAGAAATGCATTGTAGTATTGTTTCCCAATCAACCTGAACCTAAATACAAAGTAGCAGTTAAATCTGAGGCAGAGAACTTAGTCCTGAAAGCTAAATCATACATTGTTCATGAACACGGGGATGGCAAAAACCCTCCCTTGCTATGGGTCTTCTTCCACAGGATGGGAAAAGTAGTTTTACTTATCTGATCATCTACTTGTGCAGGCTCTTCAGTGCTTCAAAACTGGTCCTTGCAGCATCTTCTTCCTCATTCTCCAGTGGTTGCATACCCTCTGATATCAAACAAATCAGAGCTCACAGCCTGAGGAACACTCCACTGCTGGAGCTTAGGGAATTGGTTCTCCAGTTATTCCATATTTATTTCTTTATCGGGATCTGGTGCTTGTGCAGGCACCTTGTGAGTTTCTGCCATTTCTGCCAGTACTCTGGTACCCCCTTTCCCTGACTTATTTGCACATTTGCAATATCTCCCAAATGGTTTCTTGAATACTTTGTCACACATCCAAGGACCCAGTTTTTAAGATGTTGTGCATCTGCTGCAGGGGTTGCCTCTGAGTACTCTTCTGAGTGGCTGCAAATACCTGTGGCGTGTCTGCACATACAGGTGGACCATGATGTTATTCTGGATTTAGGAATCAAAATATAAAAAAAGGTTTTACTTTTTAAATACCTTTTTTAACTAATGTGTAAGAGGGACGGGAGGGGAGGCAAGAGAGAAAATGTGCAAAAATTAGTAAAGTTCCACTTTAATGTCCCAGTTTTGTGCATTTTTAGGCGGACCAACAAAGCAAGACAAGTACTCAGTCATTTTATTCATAGTCAGTTTACAATTACAAACAGCTACATTATTATGTAAAACGGCAGTTTGACGGTTGCATTTTTTAAGTTATGCCTGTTGCACAATATTTTCTGATTGCAGAGCAGTATGGAGTGATTTATAGTATATTGCACTAACTCTTCATATATAATTTCCTTGATGAAACATGATAAGTTATATGAAGATTAGGAAGTGTGCTGTTCATATGGGCTCTAACAGTTCAAAACAGCTGGATATCAAACATTTCCAGGCATAAGCTGAATAGCCAATAGCAACCAATTAGAAAAGGTTTGTGGTTTCAGTACAGTAAAATTAAATCTCAATTTAAACTATGTGAAAGCACATCTTTATGATAAAACTGTCTTTTTACAGCAGCTACATTAGATTAGTCTGCATGAATTTTCATTTTAAGGAGGCGAGTGAGTGTCTCATAAGCAGTCTGTATTTCAATAAAATGTTGCTCAGCTTCTATGGGACGGTGTCGTTTGTGATCTGGATGCCAAAGCTTTACCAAGTCCCGATAATGGCGATTTATTTCATCAATGGTAGCATCAGGAGACACTCCCAGAATCTAGTACAAAAATCATATAAGATAATTTTAAAATACCATAAACAGATTACGCTAATTTAATAAAAACTTTCTGTATGAGAAAACATATTTATATTACATGATTACTATAATTTTTATATAATGTGTATATTGTATGGGTAATCTACATTAACCACCTCAAGTCCAGACACTTTCACCCTTCTTCCAGTCCAGGCCAAATTTCCAGTTTTTAGCACTTGCACACTTTGAATGGCAATTACTCAGGCATGCAACACTCACCACTGGGTTTTTATTTTTTGCTTTACAATTTTGCAAATAAATAATCTTTTTTCATGAATTTAGGTAAAAATGTAATCTGCTACATTTTATGCTTATAAATTTCCCATATAGTGTATATTATTTGTCTGTATGAAAGTTATAGAGCCTACAAACTATGGTATATATATTTGAAAACTGATCTGTGCTGAAGTACTGACTGCTTATCTAATTTCTTGAGTCACTAAAATGCCAAGACAAATAAATACCCCCAAAATGATCCTTTTTTGGAAAGTAGAGAGTGGACAGTATTTAAAAAGTGGCAGTGTGAGTTTTTTTGTCATTTTAAAAGTTGTAATTTTTTTATTCACAGTTCTTTGGAATCTAAAGAAATTAAGTAAAATTTGTTTTTTTCACAAGTTGCATACTTGCAATTACACCCCAAAACACATTCTGCTACTCCTCCTGTGTATGATGATATCACATGTGTGAAACTTTTTCACAGCCTAGCCACACAGCAGCCCAAAATCAAAGGGGCACCTTCAGGCTTTCTAGGGATGTAAATTACACATTGTACTTCCTTAGTACTTATCACATTTTTGGAGGTACTGGAGCACCAGGACAGTAGAAACACACACAAAATTACCCTATTTTGGAGAGTAAACACCCCAAGATATTTCTCACACACAGTATGGACATACTTAGAATTACACCCCAAAACACATCCTACTACTCCTCCTCTGTATAGGGATACCACATGTGTAAGACTGTTTCACAGCTTAGCCACACAGAGGGGTCTGATATCCAAGAAGCACCGTAAGGTGTTCTAGGGGCATAACTTAAGCATCTAATTTCCTGACTGTCACATTTTTGGAGGCCCTGGAGCACCAGGACAGTGTAAATACTCACAAAATTACCACATTTTGTAAAGACAACACACCAAGGTATTTTCTAATGAGTCTTTTGAAAAAATGTAACTTTTTTGTGCAAAATTTTGGAAAATGTGGAAAGAAAATGATTTTTTTTTTGTTTTACACAAATCTGTCAATTAATAAGACATATCTAATACACAGCATGGGCATACCTAGAGTTACAACTCTAAACACATTCTGCTACACCTCCCAAGTATGGGGATACCACATGTGTGAAACTTTTTCACAGGCTAACCACACAGAGAGGCCAAAAATCCAAGGAGCGCCCTAAGGCTTTTTAGGGGCATAAATTATGCATCTAATTTCTTGACTACCTATGCAATTTTTGGAGGTCCTGGAGCACTAGGACAGTGGAAAAAATTGCGAGCATTGGTTCTACTGACATTAGTACTGGTATGGCAGTGATCCGGACACTGGTATGGCAATGATTAGGACACTGGTGTGGCTGTAATCAAGACACTGGTATGGGATATGGCGGTAATCAGGATGCTGGTATGAAGTAAGGTGGTGATCAGGAGTACTGATATGGTGTATGACAGTGATCAGGACACTGGTGTGGTATATGGCAGTGATCAGGACACTGGCATGGGGTATGGTGGTGATCCGAACACTGGTATGGGATATGGCGGTGATCAGTATGCTGGTATGAAGTATGGCGGTAATCAGGATGCTGGTATGGCACTGATCAGGAGTGCTGATATGGTGTATGACAGTCAGCAGGACACTGATGTAGGGTATAGCAGTGATCAGGACACTGGCATGGGGTATGGTCGTAATAAGGACACTGGTATGGGGTATGGCGGTGATCAAGACACTGGTATGGGATATGATCAGGATGCTGGTATGGCTTATGGGGTATGGACGCTGGGTGATCAGGATGCTGGTATGGGGTATGGAGGTGATCAGGATGCTGGTATGGGGTATGGTGGTGATCAGGACACTGGTATGGGGTATGGCAGTGATCAGGATGCTGGTATGGGGTATGGCATTGATCAGGTAGCTGGTATGGGGTATGGCATTGATCAGGATGCTGGTATGGCATATGGCAGTGATCAGGACACTGGTATGAGGTATGGTGCTGATCAGGACACTGGTATGAGGTATGGCGGTGATCAGAATTCTGGTATGGGGTATGGCGGTGATCAGGACACTGGTATGGGGAATGACGGTGATCAGGATGCTAGTATGGTGTATGGCAGTGATCATGACACTGGTATAAATTTTGGTGGTAATCAGGACGCTGGTATGGGGTATGGCGGTGATCAGGACGCTGGTATGGTGCATGGTGGTGTTACTGGCAGCACTGGTGACACTGGGACAGGTGTGACAGGTGACAGGGGGCTGACTGCACTGTTTATCTGTATTACACTGGGGGCCATGATCAGGGACACAGTGGGCAGGCTGGCACTGGTGCCTGTGAGTGTACAGGCAGAGTACACTCACAGCACTGCAGTAAAGGTTCTCTTTCCTCTTAAAACCGATCTCTCTGAGAGCAGAGAGAACCGATATTTGCTTTCACTCTCTTAATTTACTATGTGATAGTTGTGATTGAACACAGTGATCACATGGTGCAAGACCAATTTCTTTGGTCCTGTACCCAGCAATGTGATCTGCTTTGTGTGGGGGACACAGCAATCACTGGGCTCCCGGGTGCACACTCTGAACCGGGGCGGACTGACAAATCATGGGGCCCCTGGGCAATAGGGGATCATGGGGTCCTTGTATCCTTGCCCAAACTCAAAAAAGCCTATGAAAAAGGTACCAGGGGCATCTCACGGGGCCCCCTACTGACCCCGGGCCCTCGGGCAGTGCCCGAGTTTCCAAATGGCCAGTCTGCCCCTGCTCTGAACTGTCCTCTATCCTATTTTTCACAGCACAAAGATTAGTTTTTCTGTAGTCTCAAGAGAAGAACTGTGAGGGCATATTAGGATCTTTGAGGTAACAAAGAAAAGTAATACAGACCATAGAACAGATCTGGATTTCTGACAATAGCAAGAGGTATTTTTTGCACTTGTTGAACAGACAAAATGCTGCCAATGACAAGCAAAACATAAATGATTTTAATGGTATATTTAACAGATGAAAATGGACAAAAGAGAAGTTTGTTGTTTGGCTTTACATAGACTCATAACACTTTTATTTTATTAGTCAAATCACTGATTTTGAGTTTTCTGGCCAATAGCCAAAAGATAAGTGCTGTTCTGCTGCTCTCTGCAGGTTACTTGACATGTACTCTTCTATGATACGAATGTCAGTAGAAAGAGTTCCTATTGCTGAATTATTTTCTAATAACTATCTGATTCCTCCTATAAGCTCAGCTTTACACCATTTCTCCCAAAGGATTTGTATTTCTGGCTATCCAGGTCTGAGATTTAAACAGATTACCACACACAGCACTGCCTTTCCTGGCAGGGTAGGAGATCTACTTTTTCTCTGCTGCAGTTAAGTAATAATTACAGGTCTTGTCACTCCTCCAGCCTGTGACTGGACAATGGAGAAGAAGTAAATAGAGTGAGCTAATTTCTCTGTCACTCTGCTCTCTTCTCCTTTCAGCATGCTCCCTGCTAACACAGGACTGGCTCTTTATACTGCTTCTTCCTCTCCCATTCTAAACTCTGTCATATAGGGATTTTGCAAGAAGCTAATATCAAGTAGAAGGTATTTACACTTCTTTTAAAAATAAATGAATGATGTATTAATAAAAACAGTGCTCCATTCATTTGTGTCAATTAGGGCTGCAGTGGATCCACAATGGATCGTTTTTCAAAGGGTGGTAGAGCAGCTGCTACCAGGCATTCAAGATTCAGGTTTCCAGGCATTTTATTTTACACCTGAATAGGAATTTCATAAGTAAATACCATTCCACTTGAATAGGTTGCATTTGGCAGCAGTATTACCTGCTGAACAAGACATTGGGTATACACTTTGCCATTTCATGGGTGGTTGGGTGGGGCGAAGGTGGGGAGGGAGTAAAACCTCAGTTCAACCCCCGACAACAAGGACTTACATATTCATAATAACACCGCAAAACTTCTTGCATAGTTACAGAGTATCAATACATTACTAACCGTAGGTTCATACCCAAGCGTTTTCTGCAGCATTTTGCAGAAATGCAGTACAGTCCATTGTGTCAAAAACGCAAGTGCAAAAACGCAGTGCAGAAATGGCTCAAACGCAAACTGCATAGGTGTGAACCTAGCCTTAACCACATCCCCGCCACCCTAAAGCAGATATACTGCTACAGGGCGGCAGGGGTGTGCAAAATCATGTATATATGTGATTTTGCATTTCCGGGTAGGGGGCGCACGTGTGGCCGCAGCTGTCAATCACCGGATCCCTGCCGGAGCTTACCCACCCCTGCCCGCTGATTACCAAGGACCTCCAATAGGGAGAAGGGCTGCTTTGTTTACTAACTGTCCTCCTCCGTGTTGGCTCGGGCACACTGCTCTGGATGGCTGTGCACAGCACAGCCATCCAGAGCAGTGTCCTACAGTGAAGCACCAACACACCACCGCCCAGTAAAACATTCCCAAGACACAGTTAACCCTTTGATCGCCCCTCATGTTAACCCCTTCCTGCCCAGTGCCATTAGTACAGTGTCAGTGCTTTTTTTAGCACTGATCACTGTATTGGTGTCACTGGGGATGTCAGTGACACCAAGTCAGTTCTCCCCAGTGTCAGAATGCCGGCCACAGTCCCGCTATATTATTAGTAAAAAATTCTAGTATCTATAACACCATTTGTAAATGCTATAACTTTCACGTAAACCAATTTACTCATATTGGGATTTTTTTTTAGCAAAGATATGTAGCAGAATACATTTTGTTCTAAATTTATGATGAAATTTGATTTTTTAAAATTTTTTTACTGGACAAGTTTAATAGCAAAATGTCAAAATATTACTTTTTTTCTCAAAATTGTTGGACTTTTTTTAATAGCACAAAAAATAAAAACTGCACAGGCGATCAAATACCACCAAAAGAAAGCTCAATTTGTGGGAAAAAAGGACATAAATTTAATTTGGGTGCAGCATTGCATAACCATGCAATTGTCAGTTAAAGTAAAGCAGTGCCGTAATGCAAAAAATGGCCTGGTCAAGAAGGGGGGTAAATCCTCAGGAGGGCAAGTGGTTAAAGTATGTGTATAGACAAAACATTTTTTTGTTTTGTATAGAGCAGGGAAGGGTTAAAACTCTGCCAGGTTATTTTTTGCTGTCTGTGACTGTAAAGTTTCTCTTTACAGTCTTTGTTTACAGCTCTGTGTACACAAAGGAGCATGGGGGTGCTCATGTCCATAAAGAAGATGATATTGACACAGCCCCAAATGATCCACTATGGTTCAAAATTGATATGGTCCAGAAATATTTAGACAGAATAAAGGTGAATAAAGCACCTGGACCAGATGGCATACACCCACGGGTCCTAAAAGAATTGAGCTCTGTCATTTTAAAGCCATTCTTGCTGGAAAAAAAATATTTTAGGTACCAGGCAGCATGGATTCATGAAAGACAGAAGTTGTCAAACAAATCTGTTTTTTTTTGTGAGGAGATATGTAGTGCCCTATAGGTGGATATGATTTTTTTGTGGCATGGAGGCTAGGACAACCCTGAATGTGAGAGAGCCTGAACAGCAGGGGAGTTGGGTGGAAGATGCATTGAGGGAAGGTGCTGGTGTGTGGAGCTTGGGAGGAGACCACCTACCTACAGGCTGGAGCTGGATAGAAGGATCTCCACTGCCCTACAGTCTACTTGGGAGAGACAGCCTGTCAGCAGGGAAGGAGCCAGCCCTGCGTAAGGCCTAAAAGCAGTTGCAACCCATTAGTCTACAGGACGGGACTGTGTGAATACTTCTACACCCCCTGGGCCACAGAAGGGAGAGGGTGGCCAGGTGCAATACCCAACTAGTTCTCATCTGGGACTACTTCGTTGTAGCTCTTGGAATCTCTTGCCCAGGGATACCCTCAGAACAGCTGGGTGGATGAGAAGAGTTTAAATTGGGGTCTGAGGAGGTTCACCAAAGGGGACTCAGTGTTTCTTACTAAGACTGTTGCTGATTCTGGTCCACATTTTTGTAAATTTTTGCTAAGAAGTTGTCCTCAAAGTTCTACAATTCCTTGGGCATTCCATATACCCATAGACCCCATCCAAGTTGTTAAAATCTAATAAAAACAAGCTCAAGGACTGTATTACTGATTCTGGGAGTGCGGAAAATGCGTTTTGCCTGGCTGTGCAGAGCTTATGGGGACCCAGCAAAAAAAATAAATCTACCTCAAGGGGGTAGAGTGACAGGTAATCTAAATAAACCTTAGACAAATGAGTGGCTGTGGACGTAGTATACTTTAGTATATTTGGATTTTGCTAAAGCATTTGACACAGTTCCCCACACATGGATAATGTAAAGTCTACATGCTTAGAAAAATCAGTTTGTAAATGGATAGAAAACTGGCTAAAAGACTGCTTTCAGGTAGTAGTGCTTAATGATTCATACTCTGAATGGTCTAGGGCTGTTAGTGGTGTACCCCAAGGTTCAGTGTTGGGACCCTTATGATATAGAGTCTGGAATTAAAAGTACTATTTCAGTCTTTGCAGATGACACCAAGCTGTGCAGTGCAATAACATCCTTACAGGATGTCTCCAACTTACAAGCCGACCTCAATACACTGTTTAATTGAGCAACTAAGGGGCAAATGAGGTTTAATGTTGATAAATGTAAGGTTATGCACTTGGGGGCTAGGAATATGCAAGCATCATACATACTAGGGGGAGTACAACTGGGGGAATCAATGGTGGAGAAGGATCTGTGGGTTCTGGTAGATCATAAGCTTAATAATAGCATGCAATGCCAAGCTGCTGTTTCCCAAAGCAAGCAAACTACTCTCTTGTATTCAGAAAGGTATAGGCTCCAGATAGAGAGAGAGATAATTTTACCCCTGTACAAACTATTAGTAATACCTCATCTGCAGTTCAGTTTTGGGCACCAATTCACAAAAAGGATATTGGGGAAAGTGCAGAGAAGGGCAATTAAACTGATAAGAGTCATGGATAAGCTCAGCTCTAAGGAAAGATTAGAAGTACTGAATTTATTCTCTTCTGTGAAGAGATTAAGGGGGGATATGATCAACATGTATAAATACATAGGCGGTTCATATAGTGAACTCGGTGTAGAGTTATTCATTTTAAGGTCATCACAGAGGACAAGGGGGCACTGTTTACCTCTGGAGGAAAGAAGATTTAATCTCCAAACATGGAAAGGCTCATGCATAGTAAGAGCAGTGAAAATGTGGAATAGACTCCCTCAAGAGCTGGTTCTGGCCAGCTCAGTAGATTGTTTTAAAAAAGAACCTGGATTCTTTCAACTGTGGGTATAGGATTGTGTATATAGAATTGTATAAATGTTTTTTCCCCCATTTATTGGTTGAACTAGATGGACTTGTGTCTTTTTTCAACCAGACTATGTAACTATGTAACTTCCTGTGCCAGCGACAGAACAGGAAGTTAATGTAAATATCACAAAGTGAGGGGAATTACCTTCTTTGACAGTTATCCCCAAAACAAGTTTCCTGATTAGAAGATTTGCCCTCTGTTCTGGAGATAACTCTAACATTTTGGATGTCCCAACACTTTTGGTTTCAGTGACAATGGTCACAAGTATAAATAGAGTGATCAATCTTCCCAATAGGGACACAGACAGAAATAAAACTTTACAGAAAGTCTAACACTTCCTCACTATATCCAAAACTAAAAAAAAAGATTTTGCCTAGGATACACTTTAAAAAACCGTAATACTTAATAAAACTGCAAATATAAAATTTACATCTCACCTTGCAGGCCATCTCTTCTTTTTCATTCTGGAAGCTTGCCACAAACTCATAGATCTTTTCCCACTCTTTGTAGTACTGGTGATGTAAACCTCCCCCTCCAGTAAACAGCCCCCAAATCCTGTATGGTAGGAGGAGAATCTTTTCCATTAGTGCACTGAGACTGGGGAAAAAGCTCAACCAACCAAGGAGGGTCCCGATGCTTTCAGCCACATAGCTCACAGTTCGACTTGTATTAAGCAGTGCACTGTAAGCCAGAGGGCCAGTGAAGGCTAGGTAGGCCAGTCCAATGCGATATAGACGAAGACTGAGGTTTTCATGCTGTCGTTGCTGCAGTCGGTAGTGGCGATTTTGGTGAGAAGTAATGCTGGCAGCAATACTTATGGGGATCATGGAGATAGCACGTCCATAAAAGATTGGGGATGTCAAAAATGCAGCTACCAATGTATTCTGCAGCTTAGAGGTTTTCTCTCCTACACAAGCCACAAGATGTACTCCTAAAGCAACTGCAAGTGGTAGGACTAACACGTAATAACTTGTAAGAGTGGATAGTCCAATGGCAGCAACTAGACCAAAATAAATGCCAGTGGTTACCTGTGCCATGAACTGAATGATACTTGCAGATGGTATTCCATTCTTAATTTCATTTGTCTTCTTCCGCTCTTGTTTGTTGAATTTGAATACAAGCCCAGGAATTTTCCAAAAGTCCCACATCCACCCTACACCAAATCCCCCCAATGTAAGCATCAGAAGTAAGGCATGGCTGTCCCGTTCCAAGTATATGTGGTGTAGTCCAAGCGGACCACCTATGGCCCACAGACCATAAGCAACTATAATTCGTTTTCCCATTTTAGACAACTTCTAAATGTCCAGGTCATTTAAAGGAAACGTTGTTTAGGACATGTTGCTTATTACTCACAAAGCAATGTTGTTTATCCACATGGAGTGCTTTCTCCTTGTTTCATTCTGAACTGCCTTGCACACAGACTTTGCTCCTTTCAACATTGGTTACAGCATTTAGTGGTGCCATAGGCCCAAAGGTCACAGATATGCCTGCTACATCTAGTCCTGCCCTCAGCTGCACAGTTAACACACAGGACAAGCAAGTAATTATGTTTAACCTTTGTATGTAATATTACATTTCTTAAGGCTTACACCTTGGTGTTATAGTACAACAACATGAGTTTTGTATTTATTTATAACAATTACACTTATCTGTAATAATTATACTTTCCACACATAAAAGATTTCATGTATTCAACTGAACAGAGAACAAACAATATATATGTTTTCCCTACATTTTAATCCATCCAGCAACATACGTAAAGTAAAAAATCTCCTGAAGAAGGTGCATACAATAAAAGCATATTAAAAGTTACATACAAAACACACACAATAAAATGTAGCGAAGTTTAGTACACAATTTCTTATTTGGATAAGGTGCCTATTTCGTGTTCCAACTGGAGCAGAAATCTGTGCAAATATATTGAGGGAGAAAGAAATTACAAGAACCCTATTGCTGCAGTAGAAAAGTTGGTGGGGCCAGGCTGTTACATCCCATAGTGTTTCAGAAATAATTTAGTATGTTTGCTTGTTGCATGTCTGAAAGACTATGGGGTTTATTTACTAAGGCTATGTCAGGCACCGCCTGGCGGAATCTCTAGTGATCCACAGAACGGGATTCCCCAGGACACGGAGTCTAAGTCCCAGTCTGCCTTTTCACCAGAGCCCCTGATGGTGGGGATGGACTTGGTGCGAGACTGAAACCAGGTCGCGACCCCTGAGTGCACCCAACTGTGGTAGAGGGGTCCCGCCGAGGGTACGTGCCGTGGGGGTGAGCCTGCTGTGAAGAGGCTGACAAGTCCAGGTCCTGAGCAGGATGGATGGATGACAGTCAGGAATGAGCGTAGTCAGACTAGCCAGGTCGGTAACGGTGGAGGCAGGTAGGTACCAAACAGTAGACAGAGAGCAGCCGGGTCACGAGCCAAGGTTCAGCAACGGGAGGTCTAATAGTAATATACAACAGGCAGGAGAGTAGTCAGGGACGAGCCGGGGGTCAGAGCAGGAGAAGGTCAACACAAATCAGGACAAGCAGGATCGGCAACAGGAACACACTTCAGAATACGGGTACAGGAACTAGACCTTGCGGCAACCTAGTCACCGTCTGGCCAGTTTTTAAATAGTGCGCCCTGCACAGTCATTGGTGCAATTGCCGACGCCGACGCCCAGGTCCTAGTGCCTGCACCTTAGTGCACCTAGGCAATCTGTGTATGTGCAGACCTGTGCACAGCTGCAAGACCCGCAGTCCCTGACAGGCTAGCTCACTCAGAATCTCGTGCACTTTTGCACAGAAACCAATCAGCTTACACGTTTGATTGCTAAAGCTTAATTGAACAAGCTGAGGTTAGAAGCTACCATGCACATGTGAATGAGATTCTGAGTGAACCAGCTTTAGTAAGTACACCCCCTATGTGTCTCATGTAATACCTGTGATGGATCTGAGCATTTCATAAAAGTTTATAAACGTTCTAAATCAGCATCTGGTTCTATTGTTTTCTGCAGCCCCATCAGCTTGAGCACTATGATCGCTGGGTTTCCGATCATTCTACACAACACTAAATAGAGTGCTTGTAGCATACTGTGCTTGACACAATGAGGTATATCTACTAAAGCTGGAGAGTGTAAAATCAGGCTCACTTCTGCATAGAAACCAATCAACTTCTAAACTCAGCTTGTTCAATTAAGCTTTGGCAATAAAACCTGGCTGTTTATTGGTTTCTATGCAGAAGTGATCCTGATTTTACACTATCCAGCTTTAGTAAATAAACCCCAGTGCGTTGTGTTTACATTCTAAAGAATGTGACATTACATTACTTCTTCTGGGTATGGTGGTCATGACAGAGATGTTCTATCTCTTTCCAGCATCACCGTGAAACGATGGATCACTGCTGTAGTGATCTCTTTGTAGCACTACCCCCTTAGGAGTTTGTCCCCTTATAGCCCTGTGCAGCCAGGCAACACGCATCTCACACAGGCTTGCACCCAGGAGTCAGAGATCAGTCCTTGAGCTTTGTTTTTGTGCTTTTATTAGGGAGATTTGAACTGGGATAGGGTTGGGAATGTAGAGGATGCTCAATGGAACCGATGAACTGAGGACAACTTCCTGGAACTATTTGCAAGCTTCCACTGCAACACAGTATCTATTGGAGAGCTAGCCAGCGTCTCCTTAATGTACCACCCCAGACCCTAGATGAACTCCTCTTCCTTCATCCAGAAGTCTGAAGGTATCCCTGAGCAGGGAATCCAGTGCCTGTCGCTTTAAGAAATGGACAGTCCCAAGTAGGTGGCACATCTGGTTTCCCACCGCAGTGTTCCTTCCCCTATCTGCCCTGTGGGTTCAGGGGTACTCACCCAGATTCTTTCCTGTACCGCTGATGGGTTTGTGGTTGCTACCAGGCCTTCTAGCTGGGCCGCTCCTTTCCTGCTGTACAAGTGGTCCTTGCTCTGGGGGCCAGTGAAGCTCTGAGCTTTCCTCCTTTCCAGCTCCACTGCCTGTAGCCCCTCTCTCCATCTGGGCCCCCTCCCAGGCTCCTGCCTTCAGCCTTACATCTTTCTCTCTGTCTTCTACCCAAACTCTCCTGCAGTTGAGCCGGCTCAATCACTGTCAAGAGTTGTTGTCACAAGTTAGCCTACAGCCTCTTGTGTGTTTATTATTACCTCCTTGCTGCTCTTGATTCCTTCACATGTGTGTTTGTCTGTGCTCACCTGTGGGCATCGTCTGCTATCCTCACGGTTTTATGTTCTTCCCTTCTATCACTTCCTGGGCCGCCTCCTAGCTGGCTTCTCTATTTAAGACATGCTCAGTCTGTCCCACTTTGCCTGAGCAACTTCGTGTTGTTGGAGCTCCCTTGTGTTTCCACTGTGATTCCTGTGTTGTCTATCTGTGTACCAATCCCGGCTTTGTTCCTGACCTTGCTTGTTTTCCACCTGTCCTGACCTCGGCTTGCCCATTGGATTCCCTGTGTCTTCTCACGTTGTACCCTGCTCCTGCTAGCGGTCTCCTCCACCTCAGCTGGGTGTACCTGGGGGCTGTGACCTGGTCCAAGCCAACTGCAAGTCCATCCCCAGCATTAGGGGCCCTGGTGAACAAGCAGGCTGGGGCTTAGACTCCACGTCCTGGGGAACCCCAAGCTGTGGACCTATAGAGCTCACTACCATAGGCGTTGACAGTTTGCTCAGGCCATGAGCTCTTCGGAGACACCGTAGCCTGTCCTGGAACAACTTCAAGAGTTGGCGCTGAGAGTTGAGGTGCAGCAGGCCTTTCAAGAACAAATCATGCACTGTCTGCAGGAACTCCCTTCCTGGTTGGATCAGCTACAGGTTGTGTCCACTTCCTCACCCTCTGTTTCGGCCCCTGTTTTGGTTCCTGCTGCTCCACCTTCCACTGTTCCCCCAGTGGAACACTGTCCTTCGAGACTCCAGCTGCCTTCACCGCCTCACTTCTCTGGTGATCCCAGAGCTTGTCGGGGCTTCATCAATCAGTGCTCAATTCACTTCGAGCTAGCAGCCCACCATTTTTCTACTGACCGTTCCAAGGTGGCGTATATGATTTCCCTCCTTTCTGGTGAAGCACTGGCTTGGGCCTCGCCACTGTGGGAGTGAAAAGATCCAACTATTTGAAGCCTCCCAGCCTTCCTGCAAACTTTCCATAAAATTTTCGATGTGCCCGGCAAGACTTCATCTGCCGCAGGAGCTCTTCTTCGGCTTCGTCAAGGTAGCAGGACTGTTGGACAATATGCAGTTCAGTTTTGCACCTTAGCTTCGGAACTGGCATGGAATAATGATGCCCTTTCTGCAACCTTTTGGCAGGGTCTAGCAGACCATATTAAGGATGAACTAGCTGGGAAAAACATATCCACCACCCTGGATGACTTGATTACTCATAGCATCCAGATTGATATCCGCTTCCAGGAGCAAGATCTGGAAAGGGCTTATCCACATCACCCTCCCATGGCTTCATTTGCTCCTGTTTTCCAGAAAGTCCCTGATCAACTTACCTCTGCTACTGTACCAACATCTGAAGAGCCCATGCAGTTAGGCTCCACAAGAGCGATTGTGTCGCCTAAGAGTTGGTCTATGCCTTTATTGTGGGGCTGAAGATCATCTAATTAGGTCATGTTCTGTTCGCCCACCTCACACTGTACCCGGGCTGAGGCCACAACCTCTCTAATGTTCCTTCAACATTGCCAGACCTTACAAGATGTTTCTTGTAGTAAAGCTGCTCCCCTGCCTACTCCTATTGCGGGCCCCCTTCCAGTGCTGTCCACCTCTAGTTCCTTACCCTCTTTGCTGCCCAAATCTTCGTTCTCTTTACATACTTTGCACCTCAGAGCTCCTATGTTGCTACCTTCTGGGTGGGTGTAGGTCCCAACATATGTGACCTCTGTACCATCTGAGTTCCCAGATTCATGTGCTCTGCATGCTGAGACCCCAAAACTCCCTTCAGCTGCTTTGGACTCAGCCGTGGTTTTCACATTACTAGCTACTGTACCCTCTGTCCCCGTCCTGCCACCATACACCCCACAGTGCCCTCTGTTCCTTGTATTACCCCAGGTTCCTGTTCTGCACAGCCTGTCTTGCCCACTGTACAAACCAAAGCCTTCATGCCTACTCCTGCGCCCTCCCTGGCAGCCTCCTCACCAGACCCTTCATCCTGGCTATTGGTGTCTGCTCCAGCCCAGTTTCCTGTCGTATGTTCTCCTATTCTTACTCCTTCTGAGGAAAATGTTTCCAACAACTTACATCTGTGTTTTTCTTCCGTTGTACCCTGATCCCGCTAGCAGTCTCCTCCACCTCAGCTTTGTGTACCTGGGGGACACGACCTGGTCCCAGCCTGCTGCAAGTCCATCCCCAGCATCAGGGCCCCTGGTGAACAAGCAGGCTGGGGCTTAGACTCCGCGCCCTGGGGAACCCCAAGCTGTGGACCTATAGAGCTCACTACTATAGGCGTTGACAGTTGCCCCTTGTCTAGCCTCCTGTTGGGGATTGGCCAGGATTCCTTAAGAGTACAAGCCAGCCACTCCTTAAATTTCAACCACTGCTTCTTTCTCCAAAGATCTAGAGCAGAGGGCAATTCCAGAGGGCTGGTCTGCAGAGCCTCTCAGCTCCTGACTCAGATTTAACCTTCTGACTATTGCACCCAGGCTGCTACTCAGCTCTCCTATCTAACAATCAGGACTCTAGCTCCCCCTAACTATCTAGGATGGTGTTACATATTGCTAACTAATTGCAGCCAACTATAGATCACTATTAGAAATGATCTGCTGCTACACAGCTTAATGATGGGGGGCGTCTTCACTGACTAGATGACCAGTCCCCTGCAAGAAAAAAAATGCATAAATAAAATAATTACATAGTTTATATTTATCTCCTAAAATAGATAAAAATATTCTCTCCTCATAATAATTTCCAGGTCCCAACAATGAGGTTGGATGACCTGGAAGACATTTTCATTCACTGCTCAAGCATCAAATGCTGCCTTAACTACTTAAGGTCTGTCTGCCCACAGTGTACTGTGGACAGGTGGCCTGTATGTCACTGGCCTCTTCTGGGTACAGGGCATGGGCGATTAGATTAGACACAGCGGGATTTTGCCAGGAGGTCCCGGCCAATGATTCATGACTGGAACCTGCTGTTCAGCTGTGTCCAATCACAGCTCAGAGCCCTGTGTTGGCAGTTAACCCAGGGCTCTGTACAGAGGGAACAATCTCTTTGTTTCTTCTCCCTGTAAAGCAGGGAGAAGTAACAAAGATATTCTTAGTAAAAAGCAGCACATATTACACACATTAACACGTGTTAGGCTTACACTTAACCCCTTGATTACCCCAAGATGTTAACCCTTTCCTAGTCAGTGTCCTTAGTACAGTGATAGTGTATAGTATTATCACTGATCATTGTATTAGTGTCACTGGTGATGTCAGTATCAGTTAGTCAGTTCCCACCCAGTGTCAGTTAGTGTGAGATTGTCTGCTGTGCTATCACGGTCCCACTATAAGACACTGATCACCGCTATTTGTAGTATTAAAAAAAAAAATAAATAAAAATTCCAGTATATATACCATGGTTTGTAGATGCTATAACTTTCATGCAAACCAATCAATGTACACCTATTGGGATTTTTTTTTTTTACCAAAGACAATGTAGCAGAATACATTTTGGCCTAAATCTATAAAGAAATGTGATTTAAAAAAAATATATTATTGGATATGTTTTATAGCAGAAAGTAAAAAATATAGTTTTTAAAACATTTTTTTTTTTGTTTATATAATAAAAAAAAACCCAGTGGTGACAAAATACCACCAAATTAAAGCTCTATTTGTGTGAAAAAAAATTATAAAAATTTTGTTTGGGTACATTGTTGCATGACCGTGCAATTACCAGTTAAGGCAGTGTAGTGCTAAAGTGCAAAAAATGGCCTGGTTATGAAGGGCCGAGCTGAAGTGGTTAACTGAAGTCAATGTTATTCAGATTTCTGGGGATTGTAAAACGTTTTGTTTGGAATACAATCTGTTGCACCCTCAAGATTGACACAAATGGTTCCAAAGATGGGTAGCATTGTGCTGACTGACTGTGGTCATGGTTAACCACTAGATTCTAGAGACCTGTTTTAAAGCAGTGCAGGAATAGCAGTTATTCATCCCAGTAACATTTCAAAATCATGGTTGGTTTCTGTGGTCCTTTTGGCATCAGCATTAGAACCCCTGGGCTTTTGATCTTGCTACACAGTGCTCAAAAGAAGTGCTGTTAGCAGATTGGCGTTGACATAATACTTCCTCATTGTGTTTACATTCTATAGTGATGTATTGCTGGATGATTGCAGCCAGCTGAAGATCACTATTAGAAATGATATGATTATGGGCGGCACAGTGACTAAGTGGTTAGCACTTCTGCCTGGCAGTACTAGGATCGCCGGTTCAAATCCCAACCACAGCACCACCTGCCTGGAGTTTGCATGTTCTCTTGCTGCCTGCGTGGGTTTCCTCTGGGTACTCCGGTTTCCTCCCACACTCCAAAGACATGCTGGTAGGTTAATTGGCTCCTGTCTAAATTGGCCCTAGTATGTGTATGTATGAATGTGAGTTAGGGAACTTAGATTGTACACCCCTTGAGGGTTAGGGACTGATGTGAATGTACAATATATATATGTAAAGTGCTGCATAAATTGATGGTGCTATATAAGTACCTGAAAAAAATAAATATGCTGCTACATAGCTTCATGGGGGGATCTGGTCATTTGTGGTCACCCATTATTCATGCCTGGGTTTGACATTCAGCTTCCAGCCAGAGACATGTAATTTATGGTGAGAGTCCTGTGTGAGAGAATCATCAGCGCAGGTAATCATGTTTGTGCTGGTTGGTTGTTTTTTTGGTACCAAATGCTTTATTGAAATATCCAAGACCAGTACATACAAAAAGCTTTTGCTAGTATGGTAATTATCCAATTGTAGAAAATGAACAAAGTCAAAGCAGGAACCCCTGCAGGGGTCCATAAACCAGCAAATTTAGTCAACAGTAATATAACAACGCAAAGAGATCAGGAGACGGTGCTAGACAAAATAATATCATCAAAAGGTACGGTAGTATAGATTGGCAAGAATTGTGCAACCTAGCCCTAGACCCGTACAATTAAGGTCATATGCAATTAAGAAAAAGAAGAAAATGTGGGGCTAGGGAACCCCAAGCGCGAGGTTACCCAGCAGTATATTATTGCGACATTAAAAAGTGAATGTTCTCCACTAGGATATTAACGCCATTGATAGGGAGAACATCCGCTAAGGGTGGTCATTTTCCATTATTATTGACTATGGATCTACCTCGCTGGACCACATGATTGATGTTAGATTTACAATGTGGAACAAGATTTGAGTTCAGATAATTTTAGTGTGCTGTCCATTTTTGCTATTTTGTTTTAGCAATAAAAACCTGAGTGAGGTGTTAACCCTTCCCACACTCCATCCATGGCTGTACAGACCATTTAAATTTAAAGTGGTTAATTAAAGGTACACAGTATAACTATCCACACAGTTGTTGTGCAGCATGTTTGCGAAGTGTTGATTCATTATTTACATGTATTAGTGCCAGAGTCAGATATATATTCCTTACCCCCAGGCACACTGTCTTGTGTGTCCCCTCACACCCTAGTTGACTGGTTCGTCGTAGATCACACTAACAAAGTTAGATATCATAACCACCCAAGGCAGGCCAAGGATGGGGGTGTAGAGAGACAATTTGCCCTGTTCTGTCAGTACATCTAGAACTAATGACTAGAAGAGTAGGGCATATTATATCCCTAATTTGCTAGCAATTCAGTTCTGGGTGTGCGGAGACTATAAAAAAATACACAGCACCCTTCCCCAACAAAAACACACAAACTGTGCAGGGAGGGCAGCAATGAAAAGCTTTATAGCATCTGCAGGTATGGGAGCAGTCTGAAATATTTTATTATATCCAAGATTGTATTACAGTCAGAAGCATGATCAGCCATGACCTATGTCAGCTATGCAGAAATGCAGCACTGATTAGAGAAATTGCAAAATAATTGCTGTTTACTTAGGAAAACAGGCCTGTATCTTGCCTGCATCAAAATGCACTATTTTGATGCATGCAGCATTCAAAGCCTTTAAAAGCTCTGCACACTTTTGCTGTTTCTGTTGTGTGACGCATTAACGTGTGTTATGTTAAGGTGCCAGTTCACTAGAACAGACATAAAAATGTACATGCAGCTTTTTTTTTTTCGTGATGGAGTGCTTCACAGAACAGTAGTGAGTTGTGATGTGATGCAACATCTGTGCATTGAAGCTACAGTGTCCTAAAGTTGAAAACGAATGGCACTGCAACATGCTAGCACAGTTATTGTACAGTGACGTGCATGTTACCCAAATGCACCACATCAGAAATGGGCGACTGAGCACCAAGAGTGTGGGTGAGGGTTAGGGCACCCTAGTGGGGACACTAAGACACCGTACTCGCTAATGCCTAAACACTAGGCAGGGAGCTGTGGTCGTGTGAAATCAGCATTAACCCCTAGTTTACATATATGTGGCTGTACTTTGCACGGGCACAAGAGCCCATTCTTTTGAATGGACTCCCGTGACCGTGACACACAGCTAAGAAGTCCCTGCACTTCTTTGGAAAACGCAGCCCGCACGGGAACCTCAGTTCCCAGTACGGTTGAGTTTTCCAGTGCGGGTGGCGTGCCATTAGAACTAATGGCACCCACCCACAGGTCTGCATTTCTCTGAGCGGGAGGTGTGGCTGCATGGATTTTCGTGCGGATCCGCAGCGGCAGCACCAGCACAGATGTGAACCTAGGGTAAGGCAGGTCTCCCAAACTTAGAAGCAAGCAGCTCTTGCACAATTAACTCTCTGTAACCCATGGCCATCTTACTACACTGCTAACACTGAGCACTCTGGATACAGCTATACGATAGAGAACACCACTCCCCAGGTGTACAGCATTTAGGAACCACCACCGGTGAGCCTGTACCGTCATCCACCAACTCAGCAATTTCTGTCATCTCACTCCCAGTGACTGTCCGACTGTTGCTACTGGATACAGGGAACCTTGTCTCTCGCTATTCTCTGTTATTACTTTCTCCCAAGGTACCTCTTACATCTCACCCTCTCCTGTGATTCCTAAGCACTCTGTGCTATGGATCCGGTCCCAAAAAGTAGGGAACTGACCACTAGTGAAAGTGCCAAGCACCTAAACCCCTTCACTACTAGAGTCACCATCATCTTTGCCATGTCACCCATTCCCTGGCTGGTTGGCTGAATTTAGTAAATGATACAACTAAGGTTGTCCCTAGCAATGGCAAAATAGACTACACTAGACAGCATCCTACATGCTGGACTAAATGTACTGTATCTCTCTAACTCTCTAGTTCCCTGAT